GACATTTTGTATTTTTTTGCCAAACATTATCTGAAAAAAGTCAAGGAATTTTGAAAAGTGATGTCTGTGGAAACCATGAAGTAGTAACCTGCGAGAAAAAAAAAAAAAAATTAAAAGAGAAGACGAAGAAGAAGGCTTCATCTCGGGGGGGGGGGGGGGGGGCGCGCACCCCTGCACCCTCCCCACTAAATCCGCCCCTGTCAGTGAAAGGGTCGGGGGTAGAGCATGGAATCTATTTCGTCTAGACACTGGCTACAGGTTTGCTACAAAATAACAGTTTATATGTCAAGCTATTCTTTGCCGACGAGCTTCCGTGAAGATTTTTAATTATTTAGTAAGTCAACATAGGCGCACGGAAATTGACAATAGTCCGATATCTGTATACCAAGATCCAAAAATGTATTATAAATTCTATTTCTTGCCTTGTAAGCCTGAAACGCGCCTTGAAGACATTCCATTTCTCCCTGAAGACCGGCTGTCGAGGTGAAGAGTTTAAATACTTTTATTAACCTTATGCAAAGACTAAAATATGTGGAAAAGTGCTCTTTCAGTCCTAGAGACAATTAAGTCATCTACGTACAACTGAATTAAAGGTCAGAGTAAGAGTATTTTAGTATAAATCTACTAGCGTTCTATCACGATTGCCGTTCTCTTATTGGCTACGTTACTCACTATCTACTCTGTGGTAGATAGTGAGTAACCTAGCAGTGTGCGCCTGTTAACAAAATGGCGGCCGCTTATTTGCGTTTCGGAAGTGCCTCTGAAGAGGATTTAGATAACGTGTTGAACGAGTGGTGGATTTATACTAAAGCAATTACAGATGTCGATTATTCTCTCTTAATATTTCTATGCGTGCCGGATAGTTGACACGGGCTGCGCCCTCGTCAATTATCACGCGATAGAAATCTCGAACTCATAATCTAATAGTGAACTATTGAGTCTAAAAACTTAAATGATCTGCATAACAAACTCATACAGTCAATTTTCAAGAAGTGGCTATTGATTGAGCACCTTTCTCTACTTCAGCAGTTCTTTTCTCTTCACGTATCTGTCGATGTTAAGGAAGCAATTTGGTTAACATTACTTTTTTCAACTAATATACATGTATCTAGAAGACATGTAAGTTCTACTTCTAAATTTCAAACGATTTGGATGAAAGTTTCGTAGTTCGCATGCAATATGTAGATGTCATCTTGTACCATTATGTTCCAAACATCTTGAAACGAAAATTCTTAATTGCACTGCATTCCTGGAAAGTACGTCTTGATCATATGGTCAAGGTGTAAAATTTAAACACTCAAATCTTTCCGTATCCTTACACTGTTTAAAAAGCCAATTGATCAAAGGGTTAAAATAAATTACGAACTTAAGGCCCCCTTTTTCACCTTGAAAACAAATTTAATGTTTTCCGTCCACACTACGCCGCAGAAATTTGAAAACGCAGCTT